GATAGCTGTTTTTGGATCTTTGTTGTCCATTATTCATAACAAAAGTTTGGATAGCTGTTTTTGGATCTTTGTTGTCCATTATTCATAACAAAAGTTTGGATAGCTGTTTTTGGATCTTTGTTGTCCATTATTCATAACAAAAGTTTGGATAGCTGTTCTTGGATCTTTGTTGTCCATCACTCACAACAAAAGTTTGGATAGCTGTTTTTGGATCTTTGTTGTTCATTATTTATAACAAACATTTGAATAACTTTCTGGTCAATACTCTTTAGAATATCATTCATCCACAATTATGTTTCGGTTAAAAACTTTTGCAATGACTTGCCTGAAGGTGAGGTGTATGTAATATTTCTAAATATAAAGCATAGTTGTCCATCTGTCTAGTGTCACAATTTGTTGAGAGGAACTGGCTAAACCAATTTCAATGAAATTTAGTAGAGGAACTAAGATGGATCTCCAAAATATCAAGTTTAAATGGATAAACAATTATGAAAATGGTTTGAGTTTGGAAGGCATTTAAATGTTTAATACATGAAGTTGAATACAAAAATAAATACCATTTAAAGTACAAGTACATTTCCTACTTTAAAAAAATATGCAAGTAATAAATTAATAGGTAAATGGATGTGAGGGGCTATATTTTAATTTCATTCCAATGTTCCAGTTAGTTGTTTTATTGTTTCAGTGCATGAAGAGTAAATGATCTTTAGCCATATTGATGCAATTTTTTATTATAATGGATATAAACAAAAAAACCAAAGAATACTTCACACGTAGAGAAAATATACTGAAGATATATAATCTGTACACATAATACTTATTATTCATTTATATAAATGCTTAGTCTACAAACAAAACATTTAACATGAATTTTCTATCAATTTTTAGTTCCTAAAATAACATTTATTTCTGCACAATAATTAGAAATATTCTTTTACACCGTAAGTGTCAAACGTGAAAATTATATATTTAGTATTTATTCTGTACTGCAATAAAAATATTTATTTATTATAATGAATACTGCTAAAAAATTAATGTATTTTAATTGGCCAAAAAAGAAAAAACTCAAAATTTTTCTGTAGAATCATTATGGGAATAATTTTTAGTTCTGATCTATGTAGGTAGCTTGCTTTGATCAGAAGATAATAATTTTCAACATTCATTTATACTTGATGTTCACTTTTCAACATACTCAGCATGTTTCTTTATTCCAATATTGCCTTCATGTATAGGTTAGTACACATTCATTCTTTTCAAGTGTTCCACCTGAAAATATACTAGTATTTACTTAATACCTAATAATTCCTAACATTACAGAGATATACTCTGGAAATATAATAGTAAATATTTCTTTACTCTCAAATTTGACTTTACAAACATCCAAAACTTCTTTATAATTTACAGACAGCAAACAAATGTTAGTTTTTACCTTGTAGATCTGCTTTACCACGAACCTCAGGCACACGAAAGAGATGAAGATCAGGGCATAGGGACTTGGCAGCATCTCCACGCATATTTCGGGTGACACCAAATGCTCGAGCTTCATAATTCACAGCAATCAGACTAAGTTTAGAAATGTTTTTTTCAGTACACAGTCTTATACAACTGATTTTTTATCAAGAAAATAATTTTTACTTCTAGTTTTTACAAAGGACAAAATAATCATTTTCTGAAGTAATGGATGTATCTTTCCTTTATTTTTTCTATAAGACAAGCAACAAAGCATTAGCTTTAAAACTTCCCAACAAATCCTCACTGAGTGATTTACTATACCACCATGCAACTGTATCTATACATATGTTAATTATATCTCAATAGTTTTACTTCACAGGACTACATATCACTTACACAGCACATATCTTTCATATTTCACTATATTTGTTTATCAATTCATAGCACATTAGAATTCTCACAGAAAGCTTAGTCACCATTTTTAGAAATAAAAACTAACTACTGCTGTGAGTGAAGCTGGAAATCTTGACACTAGGGTTCTCCTAGCTGAGCTATCAGGAGTAGTACCTTTACTCTTATATTACATTCAGAATTTAGGTATGTTTCAGGTTATATTGACTCAATTTAATTTCAAACAAATTGAAACAGCCTTGAACTGATAACATTTTTTTGTACAGCTTTTAGTCTTTAATTTTACATATTAGTAATTAATGTAAATTCTTCGTTATAACAAAATCAAAGATAAATGTAGTAGCATCATAATGAAGTCAGTGTTTTGGGTCAAACACAACAGGAAGATAAAGCAGGTAATTACCATGTACTTTATACCTATTACTGATTGTTGAAGTATAAATCTGTGACATTCACATTTCACAATAATAATAATAAGCGAGTTTGAGTGCACTTATTAGTGCTTGTTGCCTGCCCCTCCAGAAATAACAATATGAAGTTCATCACTACTTATTCTTATTTCTTTTCTTTAACAATTAGATGTTTGAAATTGACAGTCTTTATATTTATCATATATGGTCTTAAAAGCATTCACCGATGTTGCCTCCAGAATATCTCTATCATGATTGACTATTTCATTCCATTTGTTTACTACTCTTTGTGTATAGAAATTTCTTCTTATTTCCTTATTACAATGTTTTTTGTATATTTTTGCCAGATCCCTTGGATTCATTATAATTAATATTTCAGCATTTATATTTTCAAACCCCTTGATAATCTTAAAGGTCTCTATTATGTCTCCTCTCCTCCAGTGTAGTTAGATTTAATCTCTTCAGTCTCTTTTCATATGCTTTATCCTTTAGCTCAGGAACCAGTTTCGTGGCTCTTCTTTGCACTCGTTCCAAGGCATCAATATCTTTTTTAGGTATGGTGATCAAACTTGTACAGCATACTCCAAATGTGGTCTTATGTAGCTCTTATATAATATTAAAAATGTCTCATGTCATGTGACATTACTTAAAAACAAATATAGAATAAGCATAACAGAGCCATACAGTAGGCTTTACCTTTAGAAGGTGCTAGCACATGGTTAATGGTTCTAGGTTAATGAAATGTGACAGCTTATGTTGGGAGTTTAAAAAATCAGTAGAAAAACGAATTTCAATAATATTAATCATCTATTTGAATGTGTTAACAAGTGTTACAAATCTTTTATAAAGATAATTTTTTTTTCAAAACAAATTTAACTAAAAAGATTCACACAGAACTTCTACACAGAAATTTACCAATCAAAAACTAAAATAAAACTTTTTTAAATTTCATCTTTATTTTCCAGAGTAGATAGTCAGATGCCAACTATATAGGAATTTCTCTCTCTCTCTCTATATATATATATATATTTCTAAGGATCCGTAATTGAAAACAAAATGCTATATCAACTACATATTTGCTTCATCCATTATATTTTTGCCACCATCACTCATTCACTGTATCACTATCACACAGTATCAGGACGGTTGGGATACGACAGATATCATATAGTACTGGTCTAGACGCAATATATATTTATATACATTAATTTTTATGCACAGCAACTGTTAATGTGTGAATATATATATATATTTCACTTACGCTCCACCCTGCCATGTATTATACTGAGCAACAGCACACGGTTTCCCTTGATATGCGGGATTAAGTCTCTGTTCTACCTGAACGTAGAAACAGTCCATATCCACCAGAACAATGATTCTGTCCGTCATTCTTTGCTGAATATTTTACTTTTGACGTTTTGTATATTTAAACTTCAAATAATTAATAAAATTAACATAGGTCTTTGTTACTTTGTAAATTGTAGTTGTACTTAACAAAGTTAGTTAGTTTTAATAACTTAAAATAAATTAAAAGTTAATTTGTTGAAACGGCCAAGACAATACTTAGCTTTTTCTTTGTCTAAATTTGCATGCTAGAAGCGGTAACTTTAAAGGTAGGCAAAATTTTACAAGTTACACACCTTAGCATACAAATACAATGTTTCAAAATCGTTATCGTAAAGGGTTTTCAATATTAAGTTACGTATCTAAAACAAGTTTGATCTTGTATTTTGAACGCTCCAAAACTCATAAACCCCCTCTACCTGTAAGTAAATGTATGTCGAAAATAATTGTTCGCAAATAAAATAAAATAAAAAGGTTTTAATATATTTTGGAGTAATTTGAAAATTTCAAAAACACAAAAATTTCCAGATGTTTTTACTTTAGCTTTGACCAAAATTTCGATATGAACTTGTATGTTTTCGGTTTTAATATAACGTGTACGATCCAAAGTAAACATTGCGATATGTGACCAATAACAACCAGTTTTATAGTTTTCTACATAGAACAAGAAATTATCTATGATTATTACTAGGTTCCACGATTGACTCAACGGTAAACTTGAGAACTTATCACGATAAAATAGCTTTGGGCTAAAACAAACACTAAACATAAGATTAAGATGTTATATTTTTAGTATTCGAATTTCTTTATTCACATGTGTTGCATCAGTCACCAAAATGTTTTGGACCCACTTTAAATTCAGTTGTTAGTTTTAAAACTTGAAAACATGAGAAATGAAGAAACATTTGTCCGACATTTTGCAATAGGTGATAGACTAGAATGGAGAGCCTCAATCTGTGAGCAAATTAGAAGGCCCCAGTTTTCTTGGTTTTTGCGCCAGATTACCAAAAGTTTGTGGCCAACTTCTCCTAGATTGCCACACCATCATCTTCTCTTAGTAAAGCTGATGTACATCTTAGATGTGCTGAGGAATGTAAGTAAGCGTTTCTGTTCCTAAAGCATGCCTTAGTTGAAGCTCCAGTATTGGCATATCTATCACAGGACTATGAGTTCTTGTTGGATTTCGATTCCAGCAATAGTGTAATTAGAGCAGTGTTATCAAAGTCTCAGGATTGAGTGAAACATGAAATAGCATTTGCTAATTGTATGCTCATGGCTCCTGAATGCAGATACTGCTCAACAAAGACAGAACTGCTTACAGTTATGGACTTTACGTTATATACTATTGGCACTATCTGTAAGGAAGAAAGTACACTTAGCAGCTGAATCATGCATTGTTGAAGTGGCTTATGAATTTTCAAAATCCAGGAAGAGCAACTTAAGAACCCAGAACTAGCAAGTGTGCTTCTTACCAAGCAGCAGGATAAAGCATGGCCAGCACAAGTTGAGGAATGTAGCACAACAGCATATAATCGGCGTTACTTGCATGAGCAACTACGAATGCAGGGAGGTGTGATGTACAATTATTACCAACCACTAGCACGTGGTCCTAAACCTGTGTTACAACCAATGTTTCCTCTAATTTTTTCAATCTATGTGCGGAATGAATTTTTTCTATGTGCACCAGTAACAAGGCAATGTGCAGATGTGCACTACTAGTTATTTATTAGTAGGGGGGTATTTTTAGACAATCGACCCTACTTGATCATTAGGTCACTTTATAATGCTACCAGTCGATTATTTAGGATTTAAGCCTATCGACTGCAAGGGTCATTAAGACCGTCAATGTGTTGAGACTACTCATTATTACTGAGGATGTGCGCGGCACTTGATTGGTTGTTGTGTGGTCGCATAGCCGTGCAGCTTATAGGGAAACTGTTTGCAACTATTGGTTCCCTTAACTTGGAGGCAGGATATTCTTCAGACTTTGTATAATATATCTACTAGAGTCCACCAAGGTGTTACATGCACATGTGCTAATTCATCTATGGTTCCACTGGCCACATTTGAGTCAAGATGTTAAGCAGTAGTGTAAACATTGTACAGATGCAATGCCCAGAGGAAAAGCTGACCAAAACAGGGTAAATTCTATCAGAGATTTGTTGGCTCTATTTTACAGAGAATAGCCATGGATATAACTTTTCCTTTCCTGGAAATTGAAACTAAGTGGGTTGAGGCTTATCCATTGATAGTTCAGCACAATCCATTGCAGATGTGTTGGCTGAAAATTTGATGGCCTGATATTGGGAACCTGAAGAATTCACATGAATCAGGGAGCTAGTTTCAATAGCCAGCTATTCTCTGAGTTACAAGGTATTGGGTATTGTGAAGATGTACAGTTTGCCTGTATCACAAAGTTTGCAAAGTTTGTTAATCTTTCCAGAAAAGATTGAAATTAACACTTTCCGTATGTCATGGTAACATATTGCACAACTGAACAGACATTTGAATTAATGTTGGTGAGAAAATAATTAAGTTTAACACTAAAATATTCAGCTGGTAGTGGATTTTCGTTGAAGAGATAAGAGTAATAAATAGAATCACACTACGTTTGAGAGAAAATATAGTTTTCTTTAATGGTAGTGAGTGATATTTCATTTGGATTGAATCAAAATGTTTGTGAGTGGTTGAAATTATATGTAGAAAGTAAAATTTTGTTACCAATAATAGCTTATGTTATACCAAATGTAAACTTGTTATACCCAGTATTTTATTGGTTATGATTGAATATCTCCAATTATGCAGTTTTACTGAATATTTTAACATTGTTTTAGTACAAAACGGATAACTACATAAAAAGAAGAATCGTCGAAAGTTGTTTAATCAAAAGCCTGCCTAAATTCAACACCTCCCAATGTCACTTTAAACTTAACAACTTTCTGACCTCCTGTGTCCTTAAGGGAATTCTAAGATCAGGGGTACCGTAGGCGTTTGTTGACCAGTTTCTTTCCTGCCAGAAGACAACGTGAGACTGAAGAGGACGCACGAAAGTGTCGAAACTAGTTTCTCTAATATCAGACTACTGACAGTTTGTTCCATTTACTGTAGTTTCCACAAATTGCTATACACGATATTGTGTTATTTTATTATTATTACATTATAGAATGTTCCATTGGAATATATATACCAATACTAATGGAATAAGTACAACAATGAAATAAATATATAAAGTAAAGTAATTCACAATGTATATAAACAGAGTGATCCACAAGAAAGTTCTTCTGATTTCTTGTCTGATGCATGGACTTATTAAATTAGTTTTTAAATTTTAAAACCAGGATGGCTTGAAGGTAAAGGGAGGAGGAAAATGTAGTATGCGGGCTTTCTACCTCTTTTCTACATTCTTTTTTAACATAATTGTTTTCAAAAATTTTATATACGCAGATGTGGTTGTATCACAAAACATCGATCATAAAAGTCTCTAAATTCATTTTGTTCTAGCTAATTATTGTCCTGACTAGTTGGTATCACGTGCGATTTTTGTTTTTTTTTGTGGGAAGGATTTCTATAAGGTTGAAATTCCTATGAGAAAGTGGACAGTCATCTTTTCTATTGGTAAGTCATGTGATTTTCTAAGAACGTAACCTACCTTATCTTATACTGGGAATGACCAACATTTGTAGCTTCTGCACACTGAAAACAATGAAATTACTGTTTGGTGTAAACAATTCTATTGTTTTTTTTTTTTAGTGTGGAACAATTCTTAGGTCAGTTTTTAGTTTTCCTTCACAGAGTTCTTACCTTAAAGGCACCGTCTTTCATGCACTTGTCTTGT